CAAGCAGCGCGCTGGGGAGGGCCTGTGGCACTGATGTCACCATGCCCTGAATCACACGCCAGGCTGAGAAACCCTGGTGATTTCAAGTGTGTGTGGTGCCTGGTAAGGAAGCAGGGATGAGGCCTCAATAAGACCTTCCAAGACCCACAGACTCCGTGGACGGCAGCGGTGTAGAAGAAAATGTAGCTGAGGGGCACAGCAGGGCGCGCTCAGGTTATTTGATTTGGGGCGTGTCGCTGGCTTGGGCACGTCAGCTGTTCACCAATTTCTCCTGTGCAGGATTCCAAGGCTGTTGGGGAAAACTGAAGCTTGCGTTTCCCATTCCTTTGGAATGAATCCACCGGAGCTTTAAAAGGGGACTCACCTAGACCACTGAATAAGGAACTGGTGGCGCTTCATCACAGTAGCAGGAGTCTGGAGGGTCCAACGGCTTGATGAGGGCTGTCTAAGCTTGTACAATGCAGGATGGGGAAACCAAACCACTGATCGGATCAACACCCCAGAATGCCCAGGCAGGCTCTCAAGCTAGGGCAGCTCTAGTTCTCCTGTTAGTCCAGCCGCTGGATTTCTGGGTTTTTCTTGTTGTTTGTTTGTTTGTTTGTTTTGGCCTACATGTCTGTGTGAGGGTGTCGGATCCCCTAGAACTGAAGTTACAGACAGCTCTGGGCCGTCAGAAGAGAGCCAGTGTTCTTTGCTGCTGAGCCATCTCTCCAGTCCCCAAGTCACTGCTTTGGGGACCTCAGTTTTGCCTTCTGTCAAATGGATTTTTGTGACTCACATACAAGATGAGACACTTAGAAAAGCCCAAAGTTTGGGATGTAGAAGGAGAGCTACAGGCCCACCAGGTCAGCCTTTCTTTTCCTGCTGTGAATATGAGGAATTAGGTGGCCACAGTTACAATCTCACCCATGTTCACAGGGGCCATCTAGACCTCCTACCGAAGGGAGCCATGATTATGATCTGTGACTCCAGTCTCTCATCCATGCCCTGACAGACTGCTGTGTCAGGATTTAACTATGCTTCCTGAGGCTGGGTGAGGTCCACTCTGCCTCCAACCGAGAGTGACTTCTGTGGAACTTCCAGCTTTGTGATTTGTCCATCTGCAAAGCCCTCCACAAAAACCTAAATCAAAGGTTGATCCTGGAGTTGCCCTCCTGGAGGAAAATGGAGGGCCCCACACAGAGGAGCGCCTGCTCCTGGGGGTGCCTGTAAGGGCTCCTCACATTCAGTACCTCAGTGTCCTGATTCACAGAGAGCCCAGCCAAGCCAACACATCATCTACGAGTCTATTCAACTTGAGCTCAGATGGATGCAGAAACCCAGGGAAGCCAAATCATATGTTTAAACAGTTGAGAGGAAACCAGACTCAGCAAGGATCTAGGGCCCTGGATTTAGCCCGGGTGAATTTTCCTTCTCTGGGATTTCCTGTCCCTTTTCTGGATGTTTCTATCTACCCCATGTTCCTTGGCAGTTGGTTTAAAGGCCATCAGCTCGGCGGTGAAAGAATGTCTTACACAGACTTGGGCTTAGCTGTTAAAATATCAGCCACTGCTGAATTGTGTGGATCCAAAGCTAGGTTTATAGACATGAGCTCTCAGCCTCTGTCAATCTCGTCTTTCAGTGGAAAACTTTAAGACTAAGCTTAAAAGCGCACGCACACCCAACAGGCACTCAGGGGGGAACCACAGGGACAGGAGGTCTGCTTAGGGAGACAAAAAAAAAAAAAAAAAAAAAAAAAA